GGTGAACTTTCTTGTACACACATATTTTTATGTAGGTATAGAGCATGTTCATATGGCAAGTTATTAGACTTGTAATTGCTTTGAAGCAAAGTAAAATAATCCTACCTTTACCTAAGTTGTGTGTGTCTAAATAATGTTTCTATGTATTAAAAAGTCCTGTATATAAAAAGCATATAAAATCCTATGTAAAAGGAAGACCATAAAAGAATAGATGTGTTTGACTTATGGTGCTGGAGAAGAATAATGAAAGTACCATCAACCAATAAAAGGACAAACAGGTCTGTCTTAGAAGAAGTCCAGCCAGAGTGCTTTTTAGAGGCAAAGGATGGCAAGACTTTGTCTTACATCCTTTGGGCATGTTGTCAGGGCGACCCAGCAGAAGGACATCATGTTTGGTAGAGTGGAGGAGCAACGAAAGAGAGGAAGGCCCTCAGCGAGATGGACGGACACAGTGGCTGCATCAGTGGGCCCAGGCATAGGAACAATTGTGAGACGGCGCAGGACCACGCAGTATGTCCTTCTGTTGTGCATAGATTTGCTATGGGTTTCGAACCAACTCGGTGGCACCTGACAGCAACAGGACAACATATAAAAGCATCTACTAAAATTCTCCCATTTATTTGAAGTGAATAATTGTGTTAATATTTATGATAGGTAAATTATATTGTTGAAACCTTCATCAAAATCAATCATTTGTATATCTAAAATATATGATTGCAAGATTTAAAACTATGATCATTACTTTTCAGTTATCACCACAGTTAAGCATTCTCATGATTTCCAATGTCATATATTAATTTTCCTTATTTTGGATTTCGTGGGAAGAGAAAATGGGGAAGCAAAACCCAACTTACCATCTACCCAATGATGAATCCTATGAAGCAGAAGGCAGATGTGCTTCCAGCCTTCAACCTTATTTGCCCTATTCTGAGATCAATAAAAATTGCCTCATGGCACTCTGCTTCTCTGATGGATTCCATAATCCAGTGAAACGGCCACACGGAGCTCCTTGATAATTCAATACTCACAGTCAGGAGGTTTATTAGGGAAGTTAACAAGGCAGGGTCAGAATGCTAAGGGTACAGTTCTTTTGCCCATAGTGCTGCTGCTTGGTCATGCTTTTCTTTGGCCCTCGGTCTCAGCCATGTGGTTACTTGGCCTTTGCACTGCTTCCAGTGTTAAAAAGCTCCTTTCATGCTGATGAATATCCAAATGGCACCTCACTCTACAAGCTATCCTGCTCCCTCACGGCACTTAGTTTTACTTAATGTGTTGCCTGGGAAGCTGCTACTCTGTCTCATGGTCTCTGCACTGTCGCCTTGTTCACTCTAATGCCATCGCCTCTTGATCACTGCTCATGGTTCCTCTCAATGGTCATGAGATTCTCATTTCCAGCTTCCACTCTGGTTTACTTTTATATTTAGCAGAATAGCACTGGTGCCCGACTATCAAAAGACATAGTGTCTGGGGTCTTAAAGGCTTGAAGGTAAATAAGCAGCCATGTAACTCAGAAGCAACAAAGCCCACATGGAAGAAGCACACCAGCCTGTGTGATCACGAGGTGTCAAAGGGATCAGGTATCAGACATCAAAGAACAAAAAATCATTATCATTGTAAATGAGGGGGAGTGCAGTGGAGACCCAAAACCCATCTGTAGGAAATGGGACACCCCCTTACAGAAGGCTTCCTGGGAGGTGAGGAGCCAGTCAGGATACAGTGTAGCAACAATGAAACATACAACTTTCCTCTAGTTCCTAAATGCTTCCTTCCCCCCACTATCATGATCCCAATTCTACCATACAAGTCTGGCTAGATCAGAGGATGTACACTGGTACAGATAGAAACTGGAAACACAGGGAATCCAGGACAGATGAACCCCTCAGGGCCAGTGGTGAGAGTGGCGATAACAGGAGGTTGGAGCGAAGTGGGGTAGAAAGGGGGAACTGATTATAAGGATCTATATATAGCCTCTCTGGGGGATGGGCAAGAGAAAAGTGGGTGAAGGGAGACATCAGACAGTGTAAGATATGACAAAGTAATCATAAGTTATCAAGGGTTCATGAGAGAGGGGGCAGCGGGGAGGGAAGGGGAAAAATGAGCTGATGCCAGGGGCTTACATGCAGAGCAAATGTTTTGAGAATGATGAGGGAGGGTAACAAATGTACAAATGTGCTTGACACAATGGATGGATGTATGGATTGTGATAAGCGTTGTACGAGCCCTCAATGAAATGATTTAAAAAATTAAATTGGTGACATTGTAAATAAAATTAAAAGGATATGTGAGAGAGAGAAAGAGAGAGAGAGAGAGAACTGACCAATCCCCCCAGTAGAGTGCATGCACATACCTATTTGCATGTTTCCACCCAGTCATTTGGTGGGAGTTTCAAAGTTCAGTTAGAAGAGACATACCAAGTAATTAAACTGCATTTTATACAGTATATGAGGGGCCTTCAAAAAGTTGGTAGGGAAAGTTCCATGATCTTTGAATTCCCATTTTCCATGAACTTTTTGAAGTTACATCTTATATGCTTTTGTATCTGTCTTTTTGCTCAACATTATTAGTGTAATCTGTCCATTTTGTTTTGCCCAACTCACTGCAGTCTAGTAGATGACAACTGAAAGTAACCCTATAGCACACTGGAGAACTGCCTCTCAGAGTTGCTGAGACTGTAACTGCATATGGGAGGGGAAAGTGTGTCATCCTTCTCCCCTGGAGTGGCTGGTGGTTTCGAACTGTTGGATCACAGTCCAACTCCTTCCTACCCACTATGGCACCAGGGCTCCTTTTGCCCAGCATTCCACCCAAAATCAAACTCGCTGCCATCACAGACTTTTGAAACAGTGTGAGCCCATCGGGCAGTGTAGTTTCTGAGCCTGTGAATCTTTTGAGAGCAGAAGGCTGTGTCTCCTGTGGAGGGGCCACTGAGTTCAATTGTTGAACTGGTGCTTCGCAACCCAATGTGTAATCTAATCCTAATCTAATCCAAGGGTTTCTGGGCTAGCATTAATTCACTTTTTTTGTTTTGTTTTATTAAAAGATCATTTTATTGAGGACTCTTACAACTCTTGTTCAAATCCATACATTGATTGCATCAATGTTTGTATATATGTTTGTATATATGTTGCCTTGAATCATTTCTAGACATTTACTTTCTATTGAGCCCTTGGTATCAGCTTCTCATCCCCCCACCCCCATGCCCCCTTAATAGATTACAAATTATTATTATTTTCATATCTTACACCCAGCACAGTCTCTCTTCCCCCGTGTTTTCTGTTGTTCTTCCCCCTGGAGAAAGTATATGGTTATGTGTCGATCATTGTGATCGTTTCCCTCTTTCTCCCTTCCTCTCCCCCACCTTACCCCTATCCTTCTGGTATTGTTACTGTTAGGTGCTTCAATTGAGTGCTGACTCAGAGCTACTAACTTGAAATTCCTTTCTTAACACCCAACTGCAAACATCATAACTCATTAGAATTAAAGTGTCTCGAGCCAAAGACAGTGTCTTGGAGATTTTGAGTTTGCCCGAGTCCACAGAAACTCGCTATAATACTCAAGTTCCTCTTCACTTAGGAGCTCTTGCTTGTAAATTCTGTGCTTCTTTTAATCTATTTAGGATGTTAGTCATATGCTAAAGGTCAATGCTTGGAAACCAGGGGCAGCTATGACAGAGAGTGATGAGGCTTTCTGCTCCCAGAAACATGTACAGCCTTGGAAACTGTGGATCAGTCATGCACTCTGTCCTATAGGATTGCTATGAGTTGTAATAGTCTTGGTGGCAGTGTTTTTGCCTTGCTCTGGGAGTATATCTGGATTTATTCCAAAGGCCTGGTAATTTATCATAATCCCTCTTTGACAGATTGTGAACCTCAATTTTTATCTCTCCCATTCTTTGAGACTGCAGAAAGCTCTAGTTAGTTCCTTAGTTCCACCTGTAAATACCAAATGCTGAATGGGAAGTCATGAGGAATGTTTTCATTGTGCTAACACTTCTTAAATCTTGACTATCTTTGAAGCATCTAAATATTTTAAGGACCAAATTTAATCTTGGAGTTTTTTGTTTGTTTTTGGTTTACAGTTTTTGTTTTTTAAATCATTTTATCGGAGGCTCTTATAGCTCATATAACAATCCATCCATACATCCATTGTGTCAAGCACATTTGTACATATGTTTCCATTATCATTTTCGAAACATTTTCTTTCTATTTGAGCCCTTGGTATCAGCTCCTCTTTTTTTTTCCTCCTCCCACTTCCATCCTCCCTCCCTCATGAACCCTTGATAAATTATAAATTATTATTATTATTTTCTTGTGGAACACTGACCATGGTCTTTTTTTACTCACTTTTCTGTTGTTCATCTCCTGTGTGTGTGTGTGTGTGTGGGGGGGGTATTATACATCAATAATTGTGATCTGTTCCCCCTTTTTCCCCCGTCCCCCTCCCCTCCTGGTATTGATACTCTCGTTATTGACCCTGATGGGTTTATCTGTCCTGGATTCCATGTGTTGCCGGCTCTTATCTGTACCAGTGTACATGCTTTGCTCTCTCCAGATTTGTAAGGTAGAACTGGAGTTAATGTTAGTTCGGGTGGGGGGAGGGGTTGGAGAAGCATAAAAGAACTAGAGGAAAGTTTTTGGTGCCATACTGCACCCTACCTGGCTTGTCTCTTCCTTGTTACCCTTCTGTGAGGGGATGTCCAATAGTCTATACATGGGCTTTGGGTCTCCAATCTTCCCTCCCTGAATTTTGAATTTTTTTCTTGTTTTGCGTGTGATGATTGCTTTCAAACAAGCAAATTGGAAATTGCTAGAACTGTAACGTTTCACTCTTATATTCTTCATTTATTTAATGTGAAATAACACTTCTCTGTGGGTATAATTTCCTAAGTGTAGAGTATACTCTCACCCACAAAAACTAATTAAAATGCATTTTTGAACATGGAATAATCACATGTTATATGTATGTATGTATATTTATTTGACAATGTTCATCTCTTATAGGTTGCTTAGCCAGACAATGAAGGATCATCTTGTAAGAGTAGCAAATGAAGCTGAATTTATCCTAAGCAGACAGAGAGCAGAGGATATTCACAGACATGCGGAATTTGAGGTAGGTTAAACATAGACTTGGCATAAGGAAATTGCTATTTTTATGTGTTAATAATGGGTAACTTCCCAGGTGAAATGGGAATATGGTATATCTTTAAAATATTCATGAGCTGTTCTATAATGATAGCAAAGTCTTTGTAGCCCCATGGTCTCAAAATGCACTACCAGATGCTCACAGCAGCTCCTGTGTTTTGCTAACTGATCTAATAATTGGGTATCATGGTGTCCCAAGGAAGAAAGTTAGCGTCGGACTTCTGTCATCTTCGGTCACGACAGAACTAGTTAGCTAGAAGGAAACAGCATTGCTGGGTAAAGAACTGCATTGACTCTTCAGATGCTGCACGAGGTTTTCTGTGTGGTTACTAACTGACAGGCTGGGCGGTGGAGTGTCCTGCAGGTACATTCTGAAGGATCACAGTCATTGAAATCCCCGTGGGGCCCATTTTACTCTGAAAGTCAGGGGCTTGCCTGGACTCAGAGTGGACTCAACAACTGGCTGGTCGTATTGCGATGCAGTTCCCATGCAGTCTAATTTGCTCTTTAAAACTGTACAGTCCATTGGATTTTAGAACATTCATACCATCATTTTAAAAGTTTCTCTTTAATTTGACACCCTGCTAGAAAAGCTGAGTACACCGGTTCTTTTATATTTCTTTGTATATGTGGGGGTATGTTTTCATTTTTATGATGTTGAAATTTCATAGCATTTATGATTTTATGCAGATGAGTATTGAAATTGGGTGCCCTATATTCCAACGTATTCAATATCTCATCTAGTTAGTCACAACTTCTTAAAGACAAGGTCCTTCTTAGAATTGCGAAGATATTATTTCACTGTCTTTGAATTTGAATGTTGCTTTCAGACACATCAAGCCACTCTGTTTTCTTCCCTCAATGCGTAGTTTATTTTTTCTTGTCATCTTTCCAAAGAATTCTTTATTTGTCCTCAAAGGAGTTCTTTAGCATCAGTTGGTTCAGTTTTAAATGTGTTTTTTATCAAATTATACTGGAATGTAGTTTCTTTAAAAAAAGTTTTATTGGCATGTAATGCACATATCATAATTTCATAGTATAATCCTATTAAGAGTATTGTGCAATCATTAGCACAATCAGTTTCAAAACCTTTCCCTCTTTTTTATACTCATTGTTAGTTCCATTTTGCCTCAATCTTGTGCCGTGCCCCTAGGTAAATGATAATCTAGTTACTATCTCTATCCTGGATTTTATATTACAGAAAATTATAAACATAAAAAATAAACAAATCAACAGCAAAAAAAATCTTAACTACAGTGATAAAACACAACAGAAGAAGACCTCATTGGAAAAGAAAGTAAAACAATTTTAAAATTGATCAAAAGGGAGATCAAATGATAAGGTGTTAAAATTTTACCTATCTCCATGAGCTGTAATCGACTCTATTAACCTCCGTGGACTGTGGTCAGAGGGGATTCATCTGAGACCCTATCCATGTGGAGACCTTACATGTTGAGTTTGGGCCTGCACTGTCATCGTAGCCTTCTGCATAAAGGGTATTCAGAATTTATGCTCTGATAACCATTCCCTTTTTTAGATTTGGATTTTATTATTTGCAATCCATGGATCACACAGGCTCGTATGCGTTTTTCATGTGGCATTAGTTGACATTTCACTCAGATGACTGCTTGCTTGGAGAAAGAAAAAAAAAGCCTTTAGGGCCATAGACACCATTCTTTTTCATGGCTGTGCATCCCTTGGTGTCTTGACTACAGGCAGCTGTCACACTCCTCTCTTCAGCGATGTCTGCATGAGGGCGGGTCTTAAATAGGGCCATGT